TTTCACCTAAATCACAGTAAAAAGTTTTTTTTAAAATATTATTTATTGCTCATATCAATAGATTTAATTTCAAGAATAGACCACATCTTCTTTCTCCAATAATCTAAGACAAATTGAAGATAAGTTATTTGTCGTATGTGGCTCATATTCCTTAATTGGGAGGAAAGGGACACTTTAGGGAATAATCTTCCCCAGACGCCTATATCTTGCATCATTTATGTTAAATATACCTCCAGGGAAGGTGAAAGAGAAATATTTCATAGTCAAAATCTTGTGTGGGATGGATTTCCAAGCATGTGAGATGAAACTATGACCAGTATAGGATGCCTTTTAGTACACAGGTGAGAATTTAAGTGTCTTTGTGATATCAAAGATAATTTTAGACTCACTTTATTATTATTATTGTCATTTGAGTATATGGCTTCCAAATTTCCCTGGGAAGAAAAGAGAGCAAGTGAACATCTTATTCTCTATATAAAGGCTGGTAAGATTTTTATTGGAGAATAATTTAGTTCTGTTTAGTACTTGGAGATATCTAATCTGTTCAATGTCATCACAGTAGTTAGGTGACTTATGAGAGATTTCATAGAAAGATAGAAAGTATTGTGACTTTTCTAGGGGTTATATATCACCTAAAGTAGAGTAGGAAATAAAGATTATCTAACATATTATTGTTTATTTGATTAACAATTTGTAAAAATAAATAAATATTTAAGAGCACTTAATAAAACAGTGAATGTTAACAATAACAAAAATGACCTCATTGAGAGGGTTGCTCAAGATGATCAAATAGATATATTTTCTGTTTGAAATTTTCAGGAAGCTTTATGAAGATGATGATTTTGCAATGGTTAGAGTCAGCTACAAGCTTTACATCTCCTCAAGGCAAGTGGGTACAAAATAAGGTGGAACCCTATGGAATTGTATCTATTGGAAATCTCCCTTAATTATTTTTCTCCTTCAATAATTATTTATAAAGCACCTAATTCTTTTCTATGTCAAAATTCAGCTGTGACCACACAAAAATTCTTATTCTTATGTTGTTTTGTTTTAATATATGTCATTCATATTGTATATAATTCTAAAGTACATGAGTTGTTTTTTGGGTTATGGAATATATTGTGCCTGTGCATGTATGTTGTGTGTATGTGTGTGCATTTATAAGTTGTTGCTGTTGCCTTTGGTCATTGGGTTGATTCCTATTCATGGTGACTCCATGAGTACAGATGACAATGGTGCTCCGTAAATTTTTCAAGGTTGTGACCTTTCAGAAGTAAATCATCTGCACTGTCTTCTGAGGTACCTCTGGGTGGGTTCCAACTACCAGCCTTTCGGGTAGTAGACAAACAGTCCTTTTTACCATCCACAGACACATAAAAATACACACACACATATGTGTAAACATGTATAATCACATATACTCTCATATATATATATATACACACACACATATATATGTAAAAGTAATTATATACATATATATGTATAAATAATTACATACCTATAGATGTTTAAATAATTATATGCATATTTATACATATTCACACACACATATATAAACACACACATATGTAAATAGCTCTAGTAGTACATGATTAAGTGTTTGACTGCTAACTGAAAGGTTAGTAGTATGAACTCAAACATACGCTGCTCTGTGGTAGAAAAGACCCAGTGATTTGTCCCCATGAATATTACAGCCTAGGAAAACAAGTGGGAGACTTTTACTCTGTCCTATGCTGTCACTATGAGTCAAAATCGATTCAATGACAATAGGCTTATGATTCAGAAACAAACTGAAGACACACAACAATAACAACATATGTGTGTGTGTGTGTCAGTGTAAGCATAGATAGACATACACATATTCCATTATATGTATAACATATAAAAATACATGTATCATATGTATGGTAAACACATGCACACATACACACATATATTACCCAGTTGATAGGAATTACAAACAATTTTTAATTCTCTGTGTTGAAGTGTTTGAAAACAGAGTGCATTTGGAAAATTTCTTGGAATGCAAGTGAGCCTTGGTTTCCTTGGCCATGTGCTGGTGCATATGGTGGTTAAATAGCATTGACTTCACAATTACCCCCATAGCTGACTCACTATCTTCCTCAAACTTCTTGTGCTTGTTGTTGTTGTTGTTGTTATGTGCCGTCGAGTCGGCCCCGACTCATAGCGACCCCTCCTTGGGTTTCCGAGGCAGTATCACTACGGAAGTAGGATTGCCCAACCTTCCTTCCGAGGAGTGGCTGGTGGGTAGTGTTGCCCAAAGAATATTGTGATTCCTTCTGCCTACATCACAAGACAGTTTGAGGGCTCAGTGTCATACCAGTGTAAAAGTTAATCAAACTATGTCCTATGATAAAAATTTTTAAATATTTCGTCCTTTGCAAACCATGGTTGTTGTTGTTGTGGTTGTTATGTGCAGTCAAGTAGGACCCGACTCATAGCGACCCCTCCTTGGGTTTCCAAGGCAGTATCACTACAGAAGTAGATTGCCCCATCTTCCTTCCGAGGAGTGGCTGGTAGGTTTGAACCGCCAGCCTTCTGGTTAGCAGTCAAGTGCCTTAGCCACTATGCTACCAGAGCTCCCTTGCAAACCATGGTGTAGATATATTTTCAAATATTGACAACAAACACTCTCTAAAAGTAGCTTTCCTTCCACCCCTGATGCCTAGAATACAATTTCTCTCCCCAGAGCCTGGCTACAAGTATTATGATTGTCTTTGCAGCTTTCTAAACATAATTCATTTATATAAAAGCTTATATGGGGGATGTATACTTTTCTGATTTTAATGGAAATAACATCATTTTAAACATATTTTTATGTCCTTCGATGTTTTACACGACAATGTATTTAAAAGACTTTTGCATGTATATCTACTTGTTGTTGTTGTTGTTATGTGCCGTCGAGTCGCCCTGACTCATAGAGACCCCTCCTTGGGTTTCGGAGGCAGTATCACTACGGAAGTAGGATTGTCCAACCTTCCTTCCGAGGAGTGGCTGGTGGGTTTGAACCGCCAGCCTTCTGGTTAGCAGTCAAGTGCTTTAGCCACTATGCTACCTAGAGCTCCCGTATATCTACTTAGTTTTTGTTAATGATTGCATAAAAGTGCTGTGCCTGATTCATTAAAATACCTTTTGATGGACATTTGTTTCTTATCTTTTGTACCATGGAAATGGCTACAATGATTGCATTTTTTCATCTGAGTGTTTTGACAGAAATTGAATCAGTCAACAAACGCAGTAGTAAAATTATAGATGTTGACAAATACTCCCCAAGAGATTGCATTCACTTACATGTCTACCAAAAATGTATGTAGTTGATGGTTTTTCACACTTTCCAGCATGATATGTAAACAATGTCTATCCAAAAAATCACTTTACTAATCCAATGGAAACAAAATATATTTAGTTGGAATTTTAATTTTAATTTCTTTAATTGTGATAAAGACAAATATCTTCTCATATGCTTGATTCTTTACAAAAGGAAAATGTTTCTTACAATTAGTTCTTTTGCCCATTATTCATTTGTGATGATTGTTTTTAACGATGGAATAGTAAAATGTATTTTGAAAAATTGTGACTGTCATATGTGTTATAAATATATATTTACTAGTTTGGCAATTTTTATTATTATTATTATTATTATTATTATTATATTACTATTTGGGGAGTAACTCTGACAATGCACATAAAACAATTTGTTTCTGTCATGTGTCGTTACTGTTGTTGTTAGATGTTGTCAAGTGGGATCCAACTCACAGCAGTCCTTTGTATAACAGAAAAACATATTGCCCAGTCCCACAACATCCTCATAATCACTGCTATCCTTGAGTTCATTGTTATGGTGACTCTGTCATTCCATCTCATTGAGGGTCTTCCTCTGTTTAGTGACTCTCTGCTTTTCCATGAATGATGTCCTTCTCCTGAGACTGGTCCCTCCTTTTAACATGTCCAAAGTAAGTTAGACGAAGTGCTGTTGTCCTCACTTTTAAGGAGCATTCTGGTTGTACTTCTTCAGAGAAAGATGTGTTCATTCTTCTGACAGTCCATTAGTTATTCAATATTCTTCATCAACATCATCATTCAGATACATCAATTCCTCTTCAGTCTATCTCAGTCATCATCCAGCTTTCATATGTGTATAAGGTGAAATGAAGATTTCATGGCTTGGGTCAGCCATATACTTAGCCATAGATTTAGAAATAAACATATGTTGGTTTCCATTTTATTTTGACACCTCTTATTGAAATTGGGTTATATTATAAGACTCTCAAGAATATGCATGACAAGATTTATATTGAAAAGATTATGCTATGACTGACTTTGACCTGATTGAGCACTTTTCTACATCCTGACTGTGTAAGCTTTAAACTTAAAATCTGAAATGTGTTCTGATATGTGGCTAAATTTTCCCCTCTCCTTTTCCTTAATTATAACCTCAAGTCTTCCTGGTTTTTGTTTAATAAATTATATTAAAATAACAAAGAAAAAATGAAAGAACGTAACTTTTGACAACATGACATGATAAAATTTTATAACTGGACTACCACGTTCGAAAACTATGAAAAAGGTTTGAAGTTACACACAAATATTTTCTGTGTTCTGATGAATATTTTGTTGTCATATTGACAGGTACTTTCTGAAAATTGGGAAACATGTCAATCTCAGGAAATTATCCACTCATATCAAATCCTTAACAAAAATGTTTATTATATTTGAAAAGCTACTTATTTTTGTTATTATTATTTCCATATTCCAACCACATATGCAACAAAGTAAATAGCTGAGTATTATGAATTTCACATTATTCAAAAAAATTCAGTACACAAAAAGCTAAATTATTACCCATTGGTAATAGAAGTTTTAAGAGCAAATAGGTATTTGAGCTCCAAATGTATCATTCATCTCATGAAATGATCACTTTTCTCCTTGCAGATTACCTATTGTTAACCCCTACTTCCCACACATCTATTGAAACAATGCAGCAAAACAAGAGTGTGAGTGAGTTCATATTCTTAGGACTGACACAGGATCCTATGAAACAGAAAATGGTGTTCCTAATTGCCTTCATTTTCTACACTGGAACTGTAGTGGGAAATTTGCTCATTATTGTGACCATCAAGTTCAGCCGTGCTCTTGGGAGTCCCATGTACTTCTTCCTTTTTTATTTGTCCTTTGCTGATACCTGCTTTTCAACTTCCATAGTCCCTAGGCTAATTGTGGATTCACTCTCTACAGACAAAGTCATATCTTACAGTGAATGCATGACTCAGGTCTTTGCACTGCATTTCTTTGGCTCTATGGAGATCTTTGTCCTCATCCTTATGGCTTTTGATCGCTATGTGGCCATCTGTAAGCCCTTGCGTTACACAACCCTTATGAGACGACAGGTGTGCATCATCTTGATTATTCTGGCCTGGATAGGGTCATTTATACATTCTATAACTCAGATTTTTCTGGCCTTGAAACTGCCCTTCTGTGGACCCAATTTGATTGATCACTATTGCTGTGATTTGCAACCCTTATTAAAACTTGCCTGTATGGATACTTATTTGATCAATCTACAGCTGGTGTCCAACAGTGGTGTCATTTGCTCAAGTGGTTTCGTGCTGCTAATGATCTCATACTTTATAATCTTGCATTCACTGAGAAACCACAGTGCAGAAGGGAGGAGAAAAGCCCTTTCCACTTGTACCTCTCACATCTTTGTAGTCATCTTATTCTTTGGTCCAACTATATTCATATATACCCGTCCACCAACCACTTTCTCCATGGACAAAATGGTGGCAGTTTTTTATACCATCGGGACACCCTTTCTCAACCCACTCATCTACACACTAAGGAATGCAGAAGTGAAAAATGCCATGAGAAAGTTATGGAGTATCAAAACTACCACAGATATCAAATGATGAAATGCAGGTATGTTGATATAGTCACTAATGAGACTGAATCTGTAAAGACATCAAATATGATAGTGTCTGATTATTGGATAACATACAAACATGTATAAGATGGTAGGTCACAGATAGATACTGTGTCAGAATACTTACAGACAAGGCTGACAATATCCTGACTCAATATTTTCCTGAGAGCTCAATTCTGGTGTGCTTGATCATGAATTATACATCATAATTCTCAATCTGTACCCTTGTTATGATAATGAAGATATTTATACAATCACAGTCATGAAAACTTGTGAGAACCTGAAAAACATTCAACTAATTCTCTGCGATCTTTATTTCTGTCTATATACATCCTAAATTATGTATCCCCCTTCTTCTGACACCTCCAGGTCAAATGAATTCAGTGAATCAAGATCATCCATTCTATTTTCTCACTAGTTCATTTCTGAAGAAATCTACATTCTGATGTTCTGAATTAGCACCTTTTTTTTTCTTAACTTACTGGTATTCTAAATGAAATTATTTCTCATTGTTTTCTTTGTCTATTGAGATAATGGCAGGAGATTTTGAATGTAAATTTACCATCTTGAAGAAAGCTAAATTTACAAAATTAAAGTATTTTCAAATCATTTATAATATGATAGGCCAATTTTCTTGTTTTTCTGGTTTACAGGCAAAATAGATGTAAAATACAGAACAGGTATTTATTCCAGTGGATCATCTGATTTATGCCAATGTTTAAAGGGCATGTCATTGCAAGAGCCAAATATACACTTACGTGGCAATGCAAGAATTAATACGTCTTTGAAATATGTACAGGGATCATATTGGAAACAATAAGTCCAAAAATTAGACAGGAAGCCTAAGGGGTAGTGAGTTTGTGTAAACTGGGGCAGGGGAGGCAATTAGGAAAAGGACATTGAAAATGGTTTTGCAACTCAAAGAATGTAATTCATGTCTTGGAATTGTACATGTATAAATTGCTAGTTGTTGCATGTTCTGTTGTGAGTGTTCCCAACAACAACAAAAATAAGTAACAATAAACTAATATATTTTTGACACTGAAAGAAATGATTCTTCTTGGTGCATTTCTAAACTGATCTTTGCCACATGGCACTAATTTCCTGTCCACCTTAGTGGTCCTGGTGCTTCTGGGCATTTTCTGGCCCTGACTTTACTTTCCATCTTCTTATTACACTGGCTCAGTCACTGTTTCTCTGGAGGCCCCAAAATGCTGAAACGAGACCCACAGTAGTTCAGAAGACCCTCCAGAGTTTGTGTGCATATAACTTTCTGAACAATAGCTGGATAAATACTGTTAAACTAGATTAATATTATAGGCAATATCAGGAAAAGTGCGATGAGGGTTGAAGTGAAACAGACAGGCATTTACAGTCCAAATATGGATCACTATCAGAAGTAACTTAGATTAATACAAATAGATTTGACCAATATAACCAATGACCCGTAACTCAATGACTTAGACCAGATTATTTGCTGTCAGGGTTTAACTTTGATGGAATAAATGGTGGGAGAATGGGAGACAAAAGGAAAGAAAAGAGACTTGACATTCTTAACCCCATACATTTTACAAGAAGAGAAAGATGCATTGTTAAGTTAAAACTAATAATAATAATAATAAATCAGTAGAACTAAGAACTGAAATTGTAGCAAAGCATTCATTCATCCCCATCTGCACACACTGAAACTCAGGCTAGGTGTTCTCTCAGTTTCTCTGTGTCCCTATCATACATAGAAATGAAGACATTATAAATTTTCTTCATCCATTTCATACTTCAGGAATTCATTTTTTTTGTGTTTAAACACATTATCTCATTAATGCATGATAGTTCTCAATATTGGGAAGGAAAAGTAAAAACTATTAGTGAAATAAAAACTTTTAAATTAAGGTAAGAAATGTTCTCTCTGTACTTCAGAATGCTTCTTAGAGTACCAAATAATAATAGTTTGTCTCACTTACTTTGGACATATTACCAGGAGGGATCAGTCCCCAGAGAACGGCATCATGTTCAATAAAGTAGAGGGTCATCAAAAAGAGGAAGACGTCCAACAAGACAGACACTGTGGCTGCAACAGTGGGCTCAAAGACACCAATGATTGTGAGGATGGCACAAGTCTAGGTAGTGTTTGTCCTGTTGCAATAGGGTTTCTATTAGTCAGAACCAATACAAAGTCGTCTAACAATATCAACAAGGACTGTATGGGAGACAAAATACTAAATGGCTTGGAAATCAAATAAAAAATAATATATGTTCAAGAAAGAGAGAACAGCTGGTCTACTTTGGGAGTATTGAGAGACTGGATCCAGGTCTCTGGGAAGGACCAATCAGGACCTTCCAAGCTTCTTTCACTTTGGTAAAAATCGAAGCAAGGTGCTGTCTTGCATCTCAGGATAGTAGCTCCAGCCAAGCCAGAAATCATCTTCAAGACAAACGGTTTCCAAAATCTGCATCTCCCTCACTCATCAATAAGTGGCCCTAATTGACAAGGGAATCAAACACATGTGCTACTTTTACCAAGTCATTATGTGTTTGATTAAAATGTGAAAGCCTAAGCTCAAAGATTCATTGTCATTATCTGATATGTTTAGAGGTCTTTGAATAAAGAATTGGAAAAAAAACATTTGTCCTTCAATGTTCTTTATGGTGGACAAAGTAGAGATTTGGGCTTATTTTATAATAAAATTATCAGAATTCAAAATAAAATAAGACAATTTGTACATTTTCATATGAATAGGTATCTCACAATATTTTAGTAGAATCCAAATGTTCTGGGAATATTTATGTTTTTATTAGAGAAGAGCAGACAAAGTTGTTGTTGTTGCTGTTAAGTTTGTCAACTCAACTCCAACTCATAACAACCCAAATAAAACAGAATGAAACACTGGTCTTGCACTACCCTCCAAATCTTGCTATACTTGACACCATCGTTGTAGCCACTGTATCAATCCATCTTGGTGAGGGTGTTTCCCTTTTTTACTGACCATCCACATTACCAAATATATCCTTCTCTAGAGCATGGTCACCTCTAATAACCTGACCAAAATAGTTGAGACAAATTCTCTCCATTCTCAGTTCCAAGGAATATTCTAGTTGCATTTCTTTTGGGACATATTTGTTGTTTCTTCTGGCAGTTCATGGTATTTTCAGTATTCTTCACCAACACTATAATTCAAAGACATCATCTCTTCTTTGGTTTTCCTTATGCATTGTACAGCTTTCACATGCCTATGAGGTGATTGGGGAGCTCTGGTAGCATAGTGCCTAAGGTACTTGACTGCTAACCAGAAGGCTGGTGGTTCAAACCCACCAGCCACTCATCAGAAGTAAGATAGGGCAATCTACTTCTGTGGTGATACTGCCTCAGAAACCCAAGGAGGTGTCTCTGAGTCGAGTCTGACTCGACGGCACATAACAACAACA